GTGATCGTTACACCCCACAGGATTCTTAACTGCAAGACCTCTTACTAATCCCCTGTCATTACACATTACTAGTTCTAAATTAGCCTGTTTCTGAATAGAATGTGTAACGTACTGCTCTAAGAAATAATCCCTGACGCAGCCTACAAATTCATCTTCCATGTCAACCTTGCCAAATCTGATTTGTTGACTTAATATGCAGATTACAACCACCCATGACAATTATGGTGCCCTTCTACATCTTCAATATTTCCTGATTTATACTTTGCCTTACAGCGAGGAACCTCTTGGGGGGCCTACAGATCACTCCCAACCATGACTTCTTTCCCTTGCTATTCCTTATTTCTTCCCAATCAGATCTGGTATTGAACCTATATCACTAGTCATCACACCCTCATACCTGCCTTTAGTAAGAAAGCTACCCTACTGCCTTGGCCTTTCTGCTAATCTTCTGGAATATTGAATGCCCTTGAACGTTGAGTGCCCAGTCTTAGAATCATAGAATCCCTACAGTGTGGAAACAGGCCCTTCAGCCCAACAAGTCCACACCGCCCCTCCGAAGAACATCCCACCCTAACTCATTCCCCAACCCCTGCATTTCCCCATGTATAACCCAAACATCCCTGAACACTACGGGCAATTTAGCATGGCCAATCCACCTAGCCTACACATCTTTGGACTGCGGGAGGAAACCGGAGCACTCGGAGGAAACCCATGCAGACACGGGGACAATGTGCAAACTCCACACAGACAGTCGCCCGAGGGTGGAATTGAACTTGGGTCCCTGGTGCTGTGAGGCAGCAGTGCTAACCACTGAGCCACCGTGCCGCCCCAAAACAGCAGCAGCAGCAGATTAGGATGATTTAGCGGAAAGCAAGGCTCGCTGACGAGTACAGCCAGCAAGATAGCTCTGTCCACAACAATCCCAAAACCTGCTGCTTTAACAAACGGAGCACCACTACTGCTGCCTGGTTTCGAACCGGGGACTTTTCGCGACTTAAGCCAGCGTGATAACCATCACACTACAGAAACATCATCCTGTAACCATGACTCCTTAATAGCTATCCCCTAATTGCTCGAAAAATTTGTTCCAATTTATGTTAATCATCTACCTTGTTATCTGAATGCATGCTGCATTTGTAAGGAGCTTTAAGCTTTGACATTTTCACCATTATTCTGCTGCACTCCCACCTGTCACACTTTGACTACCATTTGCTTTTTCATACCCTGAACGGCTGTGCTCTCTCATTTCTTCAATGGGATCCTCCCTCCACGAACTAATCTACAGGCCTATCAACAAACCTTGATCATAGCATGGTTCAAATGAAGCCCCCCCAACAGAACTCTCTTTCCCCAAGACTGGTGCCTGGGCCCCATCAACCTATTTCTTCTACAATTTTATCTATCTAACATCAATTCACACATGGCTTGGGTTGTAATCTGGGAGATTATTACTTGTGTGGTTTCTGTGGGCAGTTTGCAAGTTCTCCACACGTCTGCGTGGGTTTCCCTGGGGTGCTCTGATTTCCTCCCACAATCCAAAGATACAGGAGCTAGGTGAATTGGCCATGTGAAATAGTCCATACTGTCCCTGATATGCAGGCGAGGTAGGTTAGCCATGGAAACTGTGCGGTTACTGGGATAGGGTGTGGGATCCTCTTCGGAGGGTAGATGCAGACTCTATGGGCTGAACAGCCTGTTTCCGCACTATAGGAATTCTACGATTCTATGAATACTAATGCAGTAAAGCAATATGCATTACTGCACTCTTAACCATAACGCAGGTCTCATGGATCCCTCCATAGCTAGACTCTATTCCATGCTCTGAAATAGCAAACCCTTCCTACCAGCAGCAACACACGCCCAACCAAAGCCTCTGCACAATCACAATAAGACTGTGAGAATTCTGTCTTTGGGCATCACCCCCTCCATAGCTGCACTGAGCAGATTGGTGTACAATTTGTGGGTATGTCTCTCTGGACCAACATTTAAAACACTCACCATCTCACCATTATCACACTGCTGTTTGTCAGAATGTGCCTGGTACAAATTGGTCATAATGTTTCTTACATCACTAGTGACAAACTTCCAAAAAGTACTTTGTTAACTGTAAAAACACTTCGAAATGTGCCAAGGTCACCAAAGATGCTTTAAAAATGCAATTTCTTCGTGCCCTCCTTTTGCTGACATGCAGACCTCCTGGGCTGTAAAGGGAACTAAATGGATATCAGAAGAGACATGAGTAACACAGAAAGTGATGTCTCAGGGGAACATTGTCATTCAATTCCCTTGTGACTAACCTCTCACAGTTACTTCCTCCTAATTATATCAGCAGTCAACAATTAATTGAGAATTCAACAGAGCTGAAAGGCTGCAAACAAGAGAACTGAGCAGAGGCAGTCTCTGTAAACTAGCTCTGGTGGGAGTAGACACAGTTTCTATTAAAGGAACACAGCAACTAAGCCGCTGTAATCCACTCTCCCCTCTCAGTACTCAGCTGCCTGGGGTCCTTCCCCAGTCAGCTACGAGAACTAGTTTTCCCATCCACAAGAGTAATGTTGATTGAAGGATAAACATTGGTTAGGAGCCTGGAGATACCCCTCCACATGTTCTTTTTCAGAACAATCCCTTAGGGATTTTTACATCCTCCAAGTGGGGCAGTTGAGGCTTCTGTTTAAAGTCTCATCCGAAAGCCTGCATCTCCTCAGTACCACACTGAGCAGATTTGTCTAAAGCTATGGGCTTCAGTCACAGGAGTCAGTTCTGAACTCATGATTGAAGAGACAGCCTGTGTTAAACCATAGCTGACACTTGTCCTGATTCCTGGGTTTCTGTTTCTGAAAGATTACAACATTGCATTCAAGCATCAGATTTTCACAGGACTTCAAAATAAATCTCTTCGTAGACCAAGGTTGCAAGTTCACCCATGAATGATAAGAATATAAGAACCAGGAGCAGGAGTGGGCCATCTCCTCCGCCGCTCAATAAGATCGTGGGTCCCCTGTTGATTGTCATTTATGTAAATGATTTGGATAAAAATATAGGAGACATGGGCAGTTTGTGGATGACACTGTCCACTATACCACCAATTTTGGTGTCATCCACAAACTACCCGTGTCTCCTATATTTTAATCCAAATCATTTACATAAATGACAATCAAGATCCCAGGGTGGGGGAGCCAAAAACTAGACGGCATTGGTCTAAAGTGAGAGGGGAAAGATTTAAAAGAGACCTAAGGGGCAACGTTTTCATACAGGCGGTGCTGCATGTATGGAATGAGCTGCCAAAGGAAGTGTTACATGCAGGTACAAATACAACATTTAAAAGACATTGGGCAGGTACATGGATAGGAACGTTTAGAGGCCAAATGCAGGCAAATGGGCCCAGTTCAGTTTAGGAAACCCGGTGGCATGTACGAATTGGACTGAAGGGCCTGTTTCTGTGCTGCATGACCCTATGACTGTATTATGCTGTCCTTTATCTCTCTAATTGTCCATGGTTGTTCTTTTCTATGAAGTGGAGCTTTCCCCTCACAGGGATATACTTGTATTGTGTTAAATGCTTCTTTAATCATCCTGCTCTGTTCTCCAGTTGTTTTACCCATGAGCAGATTTTCCCAGGTTACTGTGGACAATCTCTGTCTCATTAAAGTCAGCCTTACCTAAATCTAAAACTCTCGCAGCTGATTCCTGCTTTTCACTTTCAAAAGCTACATTGATCTTGATCATGAGGGACTGAATGTTGACCACAGCCAGTCTTCAGGAGAGAAAACAAAAAAACAGAAACTTATCCAGTGTTCCCAATCATCTCCCTTATGAATCCCAGTACGAAGTGTTAAAGGAAACCATCAACATTCAGGGCATTATTACAGAGCCAGATGTGCAGCACAAAGCAGCAGTCACCCCATTAATGGTGAAGCAACCGGCTCCAATCAGCATCTTGTTTCGAGGATGTGAGGAGGGTGATAGGGAATGAAAGCATCTGTGCTGTTATTCTAACTGTTCTGGCTTTTATTTAGCAAGTAACTCATTAGCAAACAAGTCACGTCTATTGTCAACAAGTAGAACAAAGAAAAACCTAAGTATGCTAGGAAACTGGATATCAGAATTGAAAAGCAGCACTCATTAATCAAAAACACACAGCCCAAGGAATACTGAAACAGGGTTTCTGCTCAATCCATTACAAGATCATGAAAACAGCAATGAGGTACAGAACCAGATCTCGTGAAAAGGGTTGAAGAATTAATAATGCTCAGGCCACTAGGGAGAACTCCTCTGCTCTTCCTAAACAGTGGTGCAGGATGTGCCACGTACAACTGAACAGATGGCCGTTTGTTTTAATGTCTTTTTACAAATAATGCCATCCTCCATCAGTGCAGCATTCCCTGCATACAGTAGTACAAGTGTTGGACTAGGTTGGAGCAGTTTCACAACCTTTTAATCCAGAGGCAACCACCCCGCTTGACACATCAGGGGGAAAAGTTTACAGAGGTAGGGGTGCACTGTGGGATGGTAAATGGGGAGTCAACTTGGATGGGGAGGGGCGGGGGTAGGATGAAGGCACAGTAGGTTCAATATCAGAAATCTGATCTCAATTTACACCAAAGCCTTTTCTCGTTAACATATAGAGTCATAAAGACATACAGCATGGAAACAGACCCTTCAGTAAAACTCGTCCATGCCGACCTGACATCCTAAATTAATCCAGTCCCATTTGCCAGCATTTGGCCCATATCCAAACATATCAATATCAAGACACAGGTGATGATTCCCAACAGTGAATTGCCAGTTGTAAACCAGTGGGACTGTAAAAATAATCTCTGCTGGACCTTCCCAGTAGTAGCTCCACAGTTCGTGCTGACAATATGAAAGCACCTCATTTACCCATTGTCACCAGCTTCCCCTTAATGCTTCTCTCCGACAATATTCCCAAGCCAAGTGTGCAGAAGAACAGAGAGGAAACATTTTAATATTCTCCAAACATATAGCTGTGAAATGCTGACCTTTCCAACTCGTATTCCTTCATCCCAATTTGCACAGCCTTCATTACCTGGAGAATTGAAGACAGAAAATAAAACAGGTGTAAATCAGTACTTCTCGAAGGATTTCACAGCATTTCTGCATCAAAGGTAATGACTTTAACAGGATTACTAACTCCTCACTTTTTGTTTGCAAGGAGTGGTTTGAAGAAAGATTTCCACACTGCTCCTGTCTATTACCAACACATCCAGTAACTGAAAACATCAATAATCCTACTTTCAGAGTCAGCAATGGGACCTTATCCTATTAAAGAACTCACTGCCTTTCATGTTCTTAGGATGTCACAAGTGCTTCGAGGTCAACGAATTAATTCACAGTACAGCCAGCACAGCTTTTTCAGTGAATGTGAAAGTCATTTTTTTCATAAAGCAAACGAGAGGGAAGGTGTAGTAAATCCACTCTGCCATTTCCCTCCATTCACACCATGGGATCTTTCATGGTCATCAGGGCAGACAGGTAAGGCACAGTTTAATCATCCATCTGGTACCCAGAGTTGGCAATCTTGAAATCATATCCCTGGAACAACTGCCCCTAAAGGATGTGGACACTGGGGTCATTAAGGACACAGAGCCAGAGGGGAGATGAGAATTTTGTTTTTAACAGAGTGAGTTATTTTATGGGCTGCCTGAAAGGGCTTTTGAAATAATTTCAACACAATTTCCAAAAGGAAATTGAATAAATACTTGAAAAATTTGCAGGGCTATGGGAAAAGAGCAGACAGAACACAACTAATTAAGAGTGTATTTTCAGGGATAACACAAGTGCAATGGACCAAATGGCCTTCTCCTGTGCTGTATTTTATGATTCTGACTTGAAAAGTGCTCTCTCATCATGGCTGGATCTGAATACTGAACAGAGAAACAGGAGGAGGTTGTTCAGCCTGTTCACATCACATTCAGTGGCTGATCTGCACCCCAATTCCATTTATGTCTCTGTTCCATATCCTTGGACAGCTTTAACTCTACCCTGGACAACTTTACTCAACAAAATTCTATCCATCCCAGAGTCAAACACTCCAACTGACACTCCCCATATCCATAGCCTTTTAGGGTCACATAGAGCAGCTTTCTATTTCCCTTGTGAAATGAAGGGCTTCCTGATTTCACTCCTAAATGACTGAGTCCAGCACCACTACGGGATTGTCATTCACTACAGATGGCAGTGCTTCAAAATGACAATTCATCTCTGCTCTGAGGGGAAACTAGAAGCTGACAACAAATACTGGCCTTGCAACCAACACCCCTTTCTCAAGAGTGAAACAAAAAGCAAAGGACGTGATGTTATATGGAATGATATATGTTACAAACGTTAATCAGATGTCACAAATTTCACCCATTCCATTAGTTTGATTAGTGGAAGAGGTCACAATGCATTGGAGAACACCAACTGGGAAGTCACCTGCAAAAATGCATATGCCATGGACGGAAAACCTTCACTACCCCCACATATGGATAAGACATGGGCAGGAATTGGCCATTTATACCTGCTCACGTGTTTCAGTCCTTGTATTTACGGCACGTTCCTCAGCAAAGCCAGAGACTGAAGCTAGGGTGGCAAAATGGGACATGGAAAACAGACCATAAAACACAGCAGTGCATATGGCTAAGTTTGGATGGACAGGTACATACAGTAATGTTACGCTTCACATCTGCTGTCGCAGTCCAAACCTTGACAGTTCTGATGAACAATTTCTTGCTCATCAGCTACAGGCAGGTGGTGGCAACTTCAAGAAACCTCCCACGAGAGAGGGCAACAGTTTAATTTTGTAAAGGTAAAAGACATTTTACTCCCTGCCTGTACAATCTTAATAATTTATAAGTTGTTTTTGAAGTTTCACTTGTGGTCATTTCAGAAAATAGCTTCAATTCTCTTAAGGACAGCAAGGTGTCAGGTTGATTTTGCAAGGTTTGTGCACAGCTCTCTTCGCTGCACCTTCTAAAACAAAGATGCTCACTCATTCATGTGGAATGACACAATTAAAATCAATAGGACAACAGCCTGGCAGTCCAGAGTAATCCAGCAACTTCTTTCTTAAAAGGGTTTGTTGTCCTAAAAAGCAGAGGAGCAGCTTGTGAACACACAAAGGACAGCAAATATTTACTGTCAGTTTCAAAGGCTATAAGTCATAATAGAACAAAAATGCTGCCCTGACTCTCAACGTCCCAAAATGTATCTCGGAAATCACAACTTTCAGTTGTATAAGAAATCTAAAGCATAAACATAATATCAGCACAGTAAATCCAAGTAAGGAATTGAAGGGACACTACCTCACCCAGTACGGGGAGAATGGAGAACTTACTACAATTGGAACACCACCATCCACAAGTTCCCCTCCAAGCCACTCACCATCCCGACTTGGAAATATATCGCAGATCCTTCACTGTTGCTATGATGTGGAGGTGCTGGTGTTGGACTGGGGTGGACATTGTCAGAAATCACACAACACCAGGTTATAAACCTGTTGGACTATTTGAAATCACAAGCTTTCAAAGCCTCACTCCTCCTTCAGCTGTCAGTGAGAGAGGCAGTATCAGACCCAGAATTTATAAGTAAAAGATCAAAGGGTCAAACCACTGATGAGGATGTATTAAACAAACTTAAGATGCTGTTAAATCTTTAATCATTTAGAAGGTTTTAATTGATTAATATGTATATGTAAAACCCGAATTCCTTTCAAGTCACTGTCCTGAAAGAACTAAAGGTTTTATCAGTGAAAAGAAGAGATGACATTTTAGGTCAGACAATGCATGTTAGACGTGAGGCCTTGTTTAGAATCTGTTTGTGTTTTGGTTTGGAGTCAGACTGGTTTTATTTCTAAAGTGGGAATTTATAAAATGTCACATTGACTGACTGTCTATAAATTGTGCAGATTTTGAACAAAATAGAATGTATCTGCAAATACAAATTCACCCCATAGATTTGTGTGCACGCCTGTGAGAGGGAGGGAGAGAGAGGGGGTGTGTACACAAAATGGGGGGGGGG